TTCTTTTGTTCATTTGACAAGTGTCTGTTGAAAGCTTACCACGTGACCCGCACTGTAGGGATACAGCAGTGAAGAGCACAGACACGGTCCTCCCACTCATAAAGCATCCTGGAGAAGGAGACAGAAAATCAACAAGTAAACACATGAGCAAGATGATGGAAAAGTGACAAATGTTATGAAGGAAATAAAATAAGGTTTAAATGAGATGGCTACATTAGATGGATAGTCAAAAAAGGACTCTTTGTGAAGGTGATTTGTAAACTGAGTCTTGGATGATGAAAGAGACCCCAGTTATGCAAAGAATTTAGGCAGGGGGTAGTTGTAGGCAACCAGAACAGTTCTGCAAAGCCCCAAGATGAGAATGAGATTTGTTTATTAAAGGAAGAGAAAGATGGTCTGATTTGTTGGAGTCCAGTGACTTAAGGAATCTAGAGATTAGGTCTAAGCAAGGACTAGATTGTATAAAGTGTTATGGCCATTTTATTCTAAGTGCAAATTGGAACTGTGCATGACATGATTTATGTTTAAAAAGATTCACTATGGCTGCTTCTTGGATTGAAATGGAGGTGGGAGCAAGAGAGGAAACAGAGGTGATTTGGAAGGTAAGCCCAGATGTCCAGGTGAGCAATGGATTAAGGCATTAATAGTAAGAGAAAAGCGGAAGAAACGAATGAATTCAGAATACATTATGGAGGCAGTTTGTCAGACCTTTCTGATGGGGATAAGAGGGGTAAGACAAAGAAAAATCAAGAGTAACTACTAGATCTTTGCCTTGAGTAAATGGGCAGGTAGTGGAGCCATTTTCTGAGATGGCCAAGATGGGAGAGGAACAGTTTTGTGGGTGGTTAGGGCAGAAATCAAGGTTCCACATGGGGCATTTTGAGTTTGAGGTGCCTTTGAGACATCCAGGTAAGAGTGGGGATGTCAAGGAAGCAGCTGGATGTTAGTCTGGAGCTAGGAGGAAAGAGATGAGAACTGAGCTACAGATGGGACATGAGTCTGGAGGTCATCTGTGTATGGCTAGGGGAATCAGAGAAAGATCAGAGGGGAAACATTCCAGGCAGAGCTTAGAAATTTGTAAGGTCCCTCCCAGTTTGGGGATTCTGGGCTATTTCCTCTGTTTGGATACTTGACCTTTACAGGGCTCCAGGCTCCACACATGCTCATGTTTCATCTTCACCTTCAGTGAGACACCTGTCTGATTCCAGAGAGTCCAGAGGAGCGAGCAGGTGGGGACAGAGGACAACAGTGGCAGGAAAAGTCAATGTTGAAGATCAAGCTTTTCCCTGAAACTTTCCAATGAAAATTTCCATTGGCATGAAGACCTAGAAGAACAAAGATGAAATGCTTGGTAAAAATACCTGGCCTTGAGCTTCTAGAAAGTGTTCCTTCTCTGTTTTCCTTTCGAGGGTATATCCTGTACTTTCCCCATCGCAGCATGAATCAGTGGAGGTATAACTGCCCTTTTGCTTGTCTGTCTCCCACCTAGACTGTGAGCAACACAAGGACAGGGGCCATGCTTGTCTGGTTCATTTTAAAATGAATCAGCACAAATCTTAGTGCTTGACGCTGAGTCGCTACTTAATGAGGGTTTGCTGAATGGATAGGTTAGAATACATGTCATTCTTCTGATGTGTCTGGAAAGCATGTGGCCCAAGTAGTAATCTGGTAACCTAGTTCAGGACTCCAAACAGGATAAAAAGTTGTATCATCACCCCTCCAAGGAAAGAACCCTGCTAAAGTATACGGGGTGTGAGGTCCCCTAGTTCCAAGGCCACTAATTTCTGGAGGGAATTAGCAGAGACCTTTAGTTAGTGAAATAAGGGACAGTAAAGGAGAATATTTATCAGGCTCAGAGGAAATTTTATTGATAGAAGGTAACAATTTTTTTTTTTTTTGGCCACACTGCTCAGCATGTGGAACTTCCCCAATCAGAGATCAAACCTGAGTCCCCAGCAGTGGAAGCGCATAGTCTCAACCACTGGACCACTGGAGAAGTCCAGAAGGGAATCATTTTTAAATGCCTGTCCCTTCTATCACCCTGTGACTCCTCAAGGACAAAGACTGATTGGATTCACATCTGTGTTCCCAACAGTACTCAAAACTGTCTTCAGCACGTAGTATTCCTCAATAAAAAATTGCTAAAATGAATCGAAGCCCAGTAGCCCAAGGTTACTGGCCAGCTGCCAGCTGCAAAGAGCTTGGCACATGGCACCAGCAGATCAACCCCCAGGCAGGGTGGCGTGGCTGGAGCTAGAGCCTCAGGCAGACACAACCGAATGTCCTAAGTCCAGAAGCTTCTGGAAGCTCCACCTTCTCCTAGCCCACGACATGACTAATTTAGGACAAGACTGGTGGTCAGGTTTGGGAAGGACACTGAGAGTGGAGAGGAGCAAAACCTGCCCATGTGCTCTAGTTAGAGAGGCAGGGACTGCAGGCGTCCCAGGGACTCGACAGCCCTCCCCCAAGAGTTCCCCTCAGCTGGCCCCAGCCCACAGATCCTGCCCCTGAGGAGACCCAGCTCCATCCCCAGGCTCCCCACACTCTGGAGATGCGTTCAGCTGGTCTTCCCCCTTGGCACCCCTGTTCTGCTCTCACCAGGGAAGGACTATTGCATTCATTTCTAAGCTGAGAATGATTCCTTTATTGCCTTTTCAGCTTTGTGTCTCAGGCATAAAGGAACTTGAGAATCAGGCTGGAGAATTCTCCTGGTCTGAGGCCTCTACCAGCTTCTGTGGAGAGACACATCCTACACGGGGACTGGCACTGTTAGTCCAGGTACTGTTTAGTTTACAACTATGGACTCCTGACCTTTCTCTGCAAGTCTAAGCGTTATATGTAGTCCAAGGAAAAGAACACTTGACTGACTCAAAGGACTTGGGTTCTTTGCCTTGGCTTCAGACAGTGGAGGGGAAAAGGAAATGACAAATTACTCCAGCATTTTTGTCTGGGAAATCCCATGGACAGAGGAACCTGGTAGACTACAGTCCATGGGGTCGCAAATGAGTTGGACATGACTGAGTGATTAAACGACAACAGCAGCAGACAGTGGAGACTGGTGGTTAGAGCATGAGGTTTGGAGGGAGGCCTGGCTCTAACCCAAGCCTCAACACTAGTTTGCTTTCTGGGCTTTAGTAAGCCACACAAGCTCTGAAAGTCTCTGCTTCCTTATTTGTAAAATGAGGATAATAAAGACACCTACTGTACAAGGTTATGGGGAGGAGTTAATGAGATAATATACACAGAATACCCAGAGCATTGCCTAGTCCTTAATAAACTTTAGCAAATGACAGTTCCTTTCCCTTCTTAATGGGGGAATGCATGCAAACAAGAACCTAAAAGGTTTCAGTGAGTGGAAAACATCCCTTCCCATCCCCACTGTCCCTTTTCAGGATCAGAGCTTCACTACCTCTTGCTGGGACCATTGCAATAGTCTCCCAGCATAATCACTAACGACTTAAGAAATAGTCCCAACCTAACAGTTGAGAGTTATATTTTATTTGGTGGGAATTTTTAGGACTTCAAGCTGGGAGATAGCATCTCAAGTAACCCTGAGAGAACTTCTCTGAAAAGGGGGGTTGAGGTTGGTGTGGGATGTCAAGTGATACAAAAGTTTTTAACAAAGGGCAGGTAGTCTGAACATCAAGAGTACTTTTGTGAATTAAAGAAAACCAGATATCTCAAGTTAAGAAATTCAGTGCTTTTCTATGTATGGGAAGATGCAAGAGTCTCGGCTCACTGAAATCATTTCTTTCATATGCATCTCAGCTATCTGGGGCCAGCAATCCTGTATTTTTCCTCAGTGCTCACCATAAGGCGTAGCTGCAGCCTGATGACTGCCCATCAAAGGTTTTGTTCTCCTTCCTGGTTGCCCTGGAGGGCTAGAATCCATGATAACTGTGATATCCTTGTTTATTGATATGGCAGGAAACTCCCATTTCTCACCACCCACACCTACCTTGAACCCCTCTTTGGTTTCTTTCATCCTTCTGCTTTCCATTGTCCTGGGCAGCTCATAACCACCTAATTTAGACCAAATTCCTCAGTTTGAAGGTCAAGATCCTCTGTAAGTTGGTCCAACCCACATTTCCCCAACAGTCATGGTGAAAAATAACCGCAGAAGGTGGGGTGTGAAGACACTGGATTCCAGTCTTGGATTGACTACAATCTTCCCAGATGACTGAGTAAATCATATAATCTGTTTCCAGCTCCAGAAATTGAAGTATTGATCTTAAAACTGCCTCATGGGATGCCATGATTTATAGCTAATTGTCCATCTTTACTGCTAACCCAGTGGAGCCAATGGACAGGGACCATACACATCACTGTATCCTTAGCACTCGCCAGTGTCTGGCACGGGGTACATAGTTGAATGAATGAATGAACAGCATGGTGTGGATTACCTGTGGTGCGACCCAGGTGAGGCACCTTGCACTGTTCCCAGGAGGCTCCCCAAATGGTAACCGTTGCTGTGCAGCCTACTAGTGAAGTGACTTCAGGCAAATACCCTTCTTTCTCTGGACATATTCATGGATCCGTGCTAGAAGAGCATTGAAGACACTTATTTACCGTATTATTAGAGCATACAGAAGGAGCTCAAAACATGTTTTCTCCGTGGATGACGCCTCTTCCAAGGCTCTGAATGGGGCAGCTGCTGCTGTCTAAACCAGAGTCTGAGTTTTTTCCTGGGGCCTGGTTCCACTCTGCCTTTCACCCTGAGGGGAAGACGGGGCCTCCTTTTGGTCCCTCCTACATTCAGTTCCCGAAGCCCGGCGGGTAAGTGGACCGGCAGGGCGCTCTCGGAAGGGGGAGCAGGAGCCCTAGGAGCAGAGACGGAACACGGATGGGTTTAGGGAATGCAGGCAAAAAATGGGAGCAGGCAGGGGAACGGGCTGGTTCCAGACCCGGGACCGGGCTGAGAGCCCCGCAGCTTGGGAGAGCGCCCCCGGGACCAGGGATGAGGAGCTCCAAGGGGGCGGGCCGCGTGAGCCAGGCCCGGGTCAGCGAGCGGCCGCGGGGCCGGGACACAGAGGGCGCCGGAGCCGAGGGCGGGGAATGTGGGGGTGTGAGTTGGCCCCGGGGAGGCGAGCGGCCGCAGGGGAGGAGTCACTGGGGGAAGGACCCAGAGAGAGGACCCGGGGGCAGCGACAGGACGCGGGGTCAGTGCGGAGGGCGCGCGGGGCGCGCGGAAACGGCCTCGGGTGGGGTGCAGGGCGGGGAGCGCGCATCGGGGGGCGGGGGGCGGCGCCGGCGCCGGGGTGGGGGAGCGAGTTGGGCGGCTGCGCCGGCTCCGCTTCAGCCGCCGCCGCTAGGGCGCGGGGGGCGGGGGGCTCGGCGCCGCGAGCTCGGCCATTGTGGGAGCCGCTCCCCTCGGCTCGGCGGCGCTCCCCTCCGCTGCTCTCCTGCTCGGGGCGCGCCCCGCCACCGCCGCCTTCGCTGCCGCCTCCGCCGCCGCCGGTCCTCCGCCGCACGGGTTCCCAGGGTAAGGCACGGGGTGCGGCGCTGGCGGCGGGCTCCCCTCCCGTCCGCTCGGGGTGCGCCGCGGCGGCCGGGGTGCGGTGCCTGCTCGCGCGGGGCTGCCGCGCCTGATCCAGGGTAGCGGGCGGCAGCTGGAAGGCTGGTTGACAGGCGCGGGCATCGCGGCCGTCCGGACCTCGCACCTGCAGCCCAGGCGGCGGGCGGCGGGCATCGTCGAGCGCGCGCCGGGGTTTCCCTCGGCGGGCACTGCCCGGGCCAAAGGGAGGCGTGTTCTCCGGGAAAATGGGACACTGAGCCCTTCTGGGCCGGGCGAGAGCCCTGCGGGGACGGGCAGGGCCAGGCGGGGAAGGTGACTGCCGGGCTCCGGGTCTCTGCCGTTGGCCGGGGCGCCTGATCGGTCCCCGGTCGCGCGTCCGCATGGCGCGGCCCCGCTCTTTGTCAACCGCGCGCGGCGGGCACGCGGACCCACCCCAGTCGCCTCTGGCCCTCGGCGCGCCCTCCCCCGCCGTGGGGAAGGGGTGAGGGAAGAAGGCCCGCCACCCGAGAGCTGCAGGTGAGGGGCCGGTCGCCGACCTGGCCTGCGACCTTTGGAGTGGGTTGGGGGCGTGGGCGCGCGCTCCCGGGAATAGGGAATTGATGGAGCGGCTCCGGTGACCGAGGGGTGGGGCGACAGCCGCGAGGTCAAACAGGTGTTCGTGAGGGTCTGGAGACTGACCCGGGTAGAGCTGGAGAGACCGGTTCTCAGCCTGGAGGCCTTGGCTGAGCGGGCCTTTGTAGTAAAATGGGCGTCTCGGGGAGGAAGCAGGTGGTCTGAGAGGAGGGGCGTTTTCCTGCCCAGGGCTGAGTACGGAGATGGAAGGACGACCCTAATTTCCCCGCGGTGGGGGCGGTCACTTATGCACCTGACTTGGCTAACGGAAGTGGGAGGCGGACACCAGAAGGTAATGGGGGTTACATGCTGGAATAAGAGGCAGAGCTGTGCCAGGACCCAGGTCCTTTCCTTTCTGCCTTTCGGGGGCTGGATTCCTTCTTGATCTTCCAGGGGAAGAAGGCCCAGATGCTGCTGGCCCATGCGGTGTCCTGGCAGGGCTCTTCTGCCTGCCGGAGGCTGCCTAGAAGCCTCCTGTGCCCTTTGCTGTTTCTTTTGTTATCTCTCCTCACTCTGGGCCTATGATGGGGATCTGCCAGTAACCCAGGAGGTGTTTCTGCCTCTTGCTGCCTCCAGGCTGAGATTCCCAGAATCCAAGAGGAGCTGTGCCCAGAGACCCATGGTGTCCAGACATTTAGGCCACCTCCCTGTCTCAGCACAGCCCTCTCTGCTGGTATTCCCCATAAGGGAAAGGCGACAGTCTCCTGCCCGCCCTGGACCCTGAAGCCCCAGTGAGAGCTGTTTGCTTGGACTGGATTTGGGGTTGAAGGCATGAACCACAGGGGCTCTGATGGGGCCCTTGGGGTGGTGGGCCATGTATAGCAGATGGTTTGGGGACGTGAACTTGACCTGGCTGAGGGAAGCCTGCCCAGTCTGACTGGTGGAGCCCAGCTGGCTTCAGAGTGTTTGTGTTTCCACTCAGATCCCTCCTGTAGCTAAACCGACCAGAAAAATGGACTTTCTGTACCACCTTCCCCACGCCCATGCTGTGCCAGTTACTTCTACAACAACTCCTTGGAATAGAATAGGCAAAGGAACATTTTATCCTATGCTTTAGGTGCCATGTATGGCAACAGCCAGTTTTTTACATTTGCTTTGTTCTTAAGACAGCAACTTAGAAGCTGAAATATTACCCCCATTTTGCAGATGGGGAAACTGAGTCTCAGAGAAGTGAAATGACTTGCCCCACATCACACCAATTTTAAGTGGTCAAACCAGAAACTACACTCAGGTCTGTCTTACTTCAAGTTTAGTACTTTTTAAACTTTAAAAAAATGTATTCGCCAGAGGCGGTACAGGAGAAATCAAGAATTTCTGCCTTTTCTAACCCATGGTTTGTATCATGCCTAACATTGAGATCATGCTTTAGCTTTTTGAAAATACTTCCCATCTGTTGCCCTGTTTTATCTTTACAACATTCCCGGGAGGTAAGTAGAACAGGAATGTAATAATAGATGATGTTTGTGGAGTGCTTATTGGATACCGAACTCTGTTAAGCACTTTACCTGCAGGATCTCTTTTAGTCCGTGCAAACAACCTTGTGAGATAGTTACTATTACATCCCCCTTTTATAGATGAGGATTCCAAGGCTCAAAGATGTTAAGTGGCTTCCCCAGGGTCAAACAGCTAGTAAATGATGGGGTAGAACTTGCTGGGAAAGATTGAAGGCTGAAGAAGAGGGAGACAGAGGGTGAGATGATTGGATGGCCTCACTGATTCAACACACATGAACTTGGGCAGACTCCGGGAGACAGTGGGGGACAGGGAGATCTGGTGTGCTGCAGTCCATGGGGTCACAAAGAGTCAGACATGACTTAGCGACTGAACAACAACAAACTTGAATCCGGATATTTCTACCCATGAAACCTGTAAGTTTAATCCTCCCCAAGTACCAAGTAACCGAAATAGTGCTTACTAGTAATAGGAGCTAACTTTTGTTTGTTTATTTGGCCACACCATGCATGACCTTAGTTCCCACCAGGGATTGAACCTGTGCCCCCTGCCAAGGAAGTGCGGAGTCAACCACTGGACCACTAAGGAAGTCCCCAGTAGGAGCGAACTTTTATAGTGTTTTAAGACTTATGGACATCTTCATATACATTACTTCATGTGATTTCCCCCAAGCCCCATGAATTAGTTTTGCCATGAAACATCCCCATTTTACAGATAAGGAAATTGAGGTTCAGAGAGGTAAAGAGAGAAGTTTGTGGCAGAACCAGGGTTAGAACCTCTGCCTCCCTAGTCCCAGCGTTCGTTTTGCAACCCCTTCGGTCTGTTCATGTGCGCTCCTCTCCCCTACAGATCACTTCTCCAGGGGCTGCAGGCCCTCCAGCTGCAGCCCCGGCCTGGGCCATGTCTTCTTCAGATGAAGAAACACTCAGCGAGCGGTCATGCCGGAGTGAGCGATCATGTCGGAGTGAGCGGTCTTACAGGAGTGAGCGGTCAGGGAGCCTGTCTCCCTGTCCCCCAGGGGATACCTTACCCTGGAATCTGCCACTGCATGAGCAGAAAAAACGGAAAAGCCAGGACTCAGTGCTGGACCCTGCGGAGCGTGCTGTGGTCAGAGTCGCTGGTAAGAGAGGCCTGGAGTGAGCTGGGTGCTGTGGGTGTCCTGGCTGGGGGTGGGTTGGTGGAGGGGCCCTCTCCTGGGCTCTCCACAACAAGCCAGCTGGAGTCCAGTTTGGAGTTATTACTACTGGAAAGATGATGAAAAGACCTTAAAGAACAATTTGAAAGAGGAAAGTCCGCCACTCCCAGTCCCTGTGTGCTAACATGAGACCTGTTTTCCTTTTTCATCTTCTTCCCTGCCTTGGTCCCCATGCAGTTGTATTTTCCATGTAGTTGCCTTCATGGCTCATATACTATTGTAGATCTGATTTTTCTACTCACCCCTACATCAAAAAGATTTTCCATATGACATCTCAGGCTTTATAGTTACCATTTTTAAAGGCTGTGTAATATTTCACGATTTTTAAAATCCTACTCATTTTTCTTTCTTTCTTTTTTTTTTTTGTTGGCCACAATAGACAATGCTGCAGTGAACATCTTTATGAATCAAAACATTTGACTTCATTGAGTTATTTCCTTGGAATAAAGTCCTGGGAGAAGGCAGTTTCACTCCCATTGCCTTCTAAAAATGTGGCTCCTGCTTACCCTTTCTGCAGGGTGAAGGTTGTGCTGCTGCCCCTTTGCTGAGCAACAGAACCGTTGCCAGGGCAGTGGTCACCAGCCCAGATGTTGGAATCAGAGAGGGGAGGTACTGGACTGTGGCCCCGCCTCCCACCAGCTGTGTGATTCTGGGCAAGTCTCTCACTGCTGCCTGAGCCTCACCTTCCTCCTCTTGAGGATGCTTTCTGTGCAGGGCTCTTGTGAGGATTAGAGGAGAAAATGTATATAAAGCTCTTAGCATGGTTCTTGGCGCAGTGAAGGGGAAGCACTCTCTCTGCTGCTTCCCCCAAAGGCTGGATCCGGAGCTGCCTCCGTGGGTTGTGCTCAGCCTCTCAGGAGGCGGTGGTGCCAGAGTGCAGATAGAAAGACAGACAAAGCAGTGCCTGCAGGGAATTCAGTGACATCACCCACTTTCAATCCATCACCAAGGCCTGTCCTGCTCCCTCTTCTGCATCCCTCGAACAATGCGCCCTGCCCGCCTCCACTTTATCATCTCTACCTATACCACCAAACACCATCTGATAGTTCTCCTCCTTCCAGTCCTGCCCCACTTCCTCCACATGACTGACAGAGTATTTTGTTCAAAAATCAAACCTGATTCTGTTCCTCAGCTGCTTACCAACCTTCTTTGGCTCTTCATCCCTGTGGGATAAAGGCTATATCAGACACCCATCAAAATAACCCCTACTCCCAGGCACCCTGCCACACGGAGCTCTTCCTCGACCCCCACAGATCAGACCTCCATGCCTGAACTTTCTTCTCTGCAAGGTGGTGGAAGCCCGCCTCCTCTCGTAAGTGCCGCCTCCTCTGTCCCTGTTGCCCCAGAGGTATCCAGCGCTCCCTCCTCCGCTCTTGTATTCATGCTTTTCTCTCCTCTGTGTTCCCTGGTGCAGTAGAGCAGTTATCCCATGGGGTGCCCATCACTCCCTTAGGACTGTGAACAATTCTGGACCTTGTCTCATTGATTTTTTGTTCTTTCGTTAATGGTTTTACCCCCAGCTCCTTGCGCAGGACCTTGGGCATATTGGAGATCAACCAGTATTGAATGAATGAATGAAGGGAAGGCAAGGAGTGTTGAGAGGATAATATGTGACAGATTGTGATCCAGGAACAGGCAGTGGGTTGTAATGGAAAGCTCGACAGGGAGAAGGCTATGTGGGCTCAAGTAATCAGGAAGAGATTTGAGAGGGGTTGAGCCTCAAGGGAGGAGACCTGGAAGATAAACTCGAGAGTTCGAACCCCTTTTGTGGGCATCCCTTGTGGCTCCGCTGGTAAAGAATCCACCTGCAATGCAGGAGACCTGGGTTTGATCCCTGGGTTGGGAAGATCCCTTGGAGAAGGGAAAGGCTACCCACCCCAGTATTCTGGCCTGGAGAATTCCATGGTCTGTACAGTCCCTGGGGTCAAAAAGAGCTGGACACGACTGAGCGACTTTCACTGTGGGCAGTAGGAAGCCCTTGGAGGAAGGACTCTGGTCCTTCTCAAGGCCTCTGGGACAATGGCATTGGTCAGCGAAGTTTCAGAGCTGTCCCTATGATGCTAGAAGGGTTTATTTGTTTCTAGCCTTGAAGGACCCTAATCGAGGGGCCTCTAAATGCTCAAACCCCTCATTCTTCTGAACACAGCAGGGCAGAGGCCTTCTCCCTTCCTCACACCCTCTAGCCCCATGCTCCATCAGCCATGTGCAGATGTGGAGCCTGCGGATATGGAGGGTCAACTGTATCACATCAACTCATCTATAAGGGACTTGAGTGTCTGTGGATTTTGGTACCTCCTGGGGTTCTGGGACCAATCCCTTGCACACACTGAGGGATGACTGTACTTATAGATTCCTTTGTGATGAATTCCCCTCCCAGGCTTCCTTGAAGAGCCCCAAGGGATGATTTGCCTGCTGTTTAGCATTCCGAGTTTAGAACAGAAATGGACTCAAGGGGGCTCAATCCCTGAGGGTGCTGCTGGGTCCACTGAACCATGGGACAGCCAGGCCCTGTGCTGTTTCGGGCACCGGGACTGATCTTCTTTACATCCTGACATTGCCACGTGACTGTCTTGGGGAGGGGGCTGGGCCAGTGAGGCTGAAAATGGGGAGACTGCCATGGTTAAAAATAACTTGTGTGCTGCAGTTGGGCGTGTTTCGTTAGCAGGAGAGGCAGCGGAGGAGAGGCGGGACTGCTACTTCAGGGCCCTGGCTGAAATCTTCCTGTGATTTCAGAGCGTGGTGAGGGTTCTACCAGAGTAATTAAGAAGGCAGCCTTCCTTCTCAGGCAACTGCTTCCTGTGAAGGTGGGAAGGGCATGTCTGGGAGACCCTGTGTGTTCTGAAGCTCTCTGAAGTTAGAACTTACATTCAGGGAGGAAATGAAGTCAGTCTTATCCTGGAAGCCAGCTGAGGCCTGTGTAATTTTCTCCTCCCTGTGGGCCTGGGTTCTGAAGCAAAGTGGGGGTGTCTGAGTCAGTCTGACCAAATACACAGACTGCCCCGGTGCCTGGCCTACTTGGTGTCCTATACAGGTCTCAGGGCCTCCCTCATGCTGGAGAGGTGAATGGGGGACCCTTGCTGATGACGCATGTCAGATAGAGGGGCATGTCGGGCTGCTGATCTCAAGTCTACAAAATCAGGGCCCCACACATGCTATAACCAATTCTCCCGATCCTCATCCTTTCTCTCCATTTTTTTTCTTCTCTCTACCTTGCTAGCCCTATTCTCAACTCCTTAAGCCCAGCCACACCAAAGTGGAACATTAGTCGTTAACGAGAAAACCTTGTTTCTGTTAATCATAGAGATTTCATGATAACAGCACGTTAGGTGGGACACATGTTAGAATCTGAGGCCCAGAGGATTTAAGGGACTTTCCTGGAGTCACCCAGGACCAGTGGACCCAGATCTAACTCTGGGTGCATTGCTGTTCCCATTCCCTTAGGCAATACCTGACAACCAGGCCAGCTGGATTTTTCTGCTGGCTACAATCTAAACAGCTGACTGGACGTCCAGACTCACCAGAGAGTCATTCTGGTCACCTCTGGGAGAGGCTTCACAATCCTGAGCTATAGAAAAAAGCAGAGAGAAAGATCTAGTGGAGTTTGCCTCTTCGGAGCCTTTAGCTCTCTGTTATTGAACAGCAATAGAAATATCCTTATTCACTGGTGTAGGGTAGGCAGGGCCACATGGAAGGGGGGGGTTCTGGGGAGGTACTTGGGCAAGGAGCACAACCCCACAGTGTAGAAGAGGACAGAGGAGAGAAGGTTGTATCCCTTGGGGCTTGTGAGGCCTGGAGAGAGCAAACCAGTGCAGGACCCGAGTCGCATGGCTGGACACTGCACGACTCTAGGGGGCGCCTTTCATACTTTTTGTCATTGTAAATTTGTGTTTTATTGTGGCAAGTTTCCTGCAGATGGCAGTAAAGTGTCTGAAAGAAGGGATCCTGATTGGGCTAGGGGCTGGGCTGGGGGCAGGGATTCCTCATCAACCTACCAATCAGGAATTAACCATGTAACGTCATATATTCGGGACCCTCCCTGTTCTTGGCATTGATACTTAAAGATCACTGAAGCTGGAATCACTTCTTCATGGAACTAGTTCAGAGACCAGAAGGGAAGAAATACTTTCCTGTATGTGTTGTGAAATAGGGCTTCCTACGGCTTCCCTGGTGGCTCAGAGGATAAAGCGTCTGTCTGCAATGCGGGAGATTGGGTTTGATCCCTGGGTTGGGAAGATCCCCTGGAGAAGGAAATGGCAACCCACTCCAGTATTCTTGCCTGGAGAATCCCATGGACAGAGGAGACTGGTGGGCTACAGTCCACGGAGTCGCAAAGAGTTGGACACGACTGAGCGACTTCACTTCACTTCACTTCAGGTGGCGCAGTGGAACAGAATCTGCCTCCCAATGTAGAAGAAACAAGAGACAGGGATTCGATCCCTGGGTTGGGAAGATCCCCTGAGGTAGGAAATGGCAACCCACTCGAGTATTTTTACCTGGAAAATTCCATGGTCAGGGGAGCCTGGCGGGCTACAGTCCATGGGGTTGCGAAGAATCGGACATGAATGAGCAACTGAGCATGAAGGAAGGGAGCACAGGGACTCTGGGCTGAAACGTGGCCTCCCATGAACCAGTAGAAAGCATCTGTAGGATTTGTTCTTGGGAGCCCTTCAGCAGGTGCCTGTGAAGTCATCATCCTCCCAAGAAGCCTTCCCTGATTTCTCCAGCAGTCAGACAGCAGTCGTGTCTCTAGCCTTGTTTCAGCTGGCCTTCCGTTAAAGCCCATTGTTTCCAGGTGTGTGTTCCTCACCAGCTCTAGAGCTCACTGTCGTCAGGAGGCCCATCTCACCCTTCCTGGTTTTGCCCCAAGATCTCACTCTGAGAACGTGGGCTCTGGAAGCCAAAGGCTCAGTGAGGGCTGTGAAATG